GATATTCTGGCAGGGCCTAAGGTTCACGTGAATAAAAGTAGCCATTAAAACAAAAACACACAATCACGGATAAAAAGTATCACAAAGAATAAAAAATAAAAAATATGAAGAGGCTGTTGTTTTTTTCCTTTGCCTTAGCGCAAACAATAATAAAAATTATAATAACATAACATTTAACTGCTACATGTTTAAATCTAAAGAAAATCTAGCAGTTAGATGCTTAAATATTCAAAATCCAAATATACTCTCTATTTCTTTTTTTAAATTTTTAATACCTACTTGTAAAGGTATTTATTTGCCATTGCGGGTTACCTAAATGCGAAGGGATGGTGATGCTTTGCAGCTTTAGGGTGAGGCCAAACGAGCGTCATTTTGTGAGTGGTGAGTCGCAGAATTTCGGTCGCAGAAATTCTGCTGCATTCGGTTTCATACAAAAAGGCAGTTGGTGCCACACGACAACGCAAAATGAGTTGTTCAATTCAGTTGAACGTAAAATAAGTGACCGAAAATAAGCGACTCACAACTCACAAAATTACGCTCGTTTGGCTTCACCCATAGAGAAGGTAGAAAGAATACGATACGGCAATCAGGTCGGTGCATTCGCCCGGATAGCGAAGGATGCGGGTTCGAGACCCGTCTGCTGCCTGGTCCGCGTGGATTTTTTTCTAGTTATATTTTCAATAATTTCTACTATTATTAAAAAATATGAATTTTTGCGGCTTTCTTACTCAATCACGTAAAAACAGATTTGGATCAAATTTGCCATACGTATATTTCACGTTTAATTCATTACTTATCTAGATTGAAACATGGGAGACTGTTTGTCTCTGAAAAAAGGTTTCTCAAAAAACTAAAGTGAACTGTTACAAGTATTAAACATTTGAGAGAAGAAATAGCCATTTTTATTTTCTTTTTATATATTTTTTTTATATAGACAGTGGATGCAAAAGCTTTAGAAACTGAAATTATTCAAACAACAACAGTGTTCACTCTTCATGGAGACCAAACAAAAAATAAAACTCGTAGCATTGTATTTTTCATATCGAGCACAACGTAAAGCGGTATTTTCTGGCATTTTTCTTCGCCATCTCGGATTTTTTCGTTTGATTGATGAAAATTGTTGTTCGCTAATGCGAAGTTTTTGAGTTGTGTGAGGATTCCGTTGAATATTTTAATAGGGATTTCCACTTGGCGTGGCATAATGGTAACGCCAGTCGTTGTGTAATATAATAAATTTTGTTACGCCGTCAGTATATAAATGATTTCTTTTTGAAGTAAAACTTTTATAACATCGCCACAAATTTTTTGTCACTCATCTTTTGCTTGCCGCATTACATTTTTCATTGTTAGAAAAATTGCTATGACGAGCTCCATGGCGCAAATGGTAAGCGCATTCGACTGCGATCGTTCAAGCTAAGCAACTTTCGCAGTGGTCGGTCATTGGATGGGTGACCAAAAATCTTTTATCTCGAGTTTCTCCGTGCTTCGGAAGGCACGTTAAGCCGTTGGTCCCAGCTGCATCTGCAGTCGTTAGCACCCGCCAATCTGCACTGGGCCTGCATGGTGGATCATAGCCTAGCTAGATGGTTAGATGTGTCCGTGCACACACTTTTTTTTCTTTTGGAGAAACTTTATTCAATTAAGAAGTCAATGAGACCATCCCATAATAGTACATTTGCAAAATTTTACTGTTACTGCTATAGAAATGTTAATTTCTTACTATATTACCTGAAAACCCCCTTTTCACTTCTTTTTCACATCACAGGTTTTTCCCCGATTTTCGAAAGAGAGTGTCGAAGTACTGTTTCAAATATTTACGCTCCAAATATCTAATTTAATCATACGCTCTGACTATTACCAATAAATACACTTCTGTCAATATCCTGTAACCTTTATTCTTTGTGTGTTTATTTACGAACAAAAACAAAAGCCACAGATTGTTATCTCGAGCGAGTATTTTCTGTAACAACATTGTTGTAGCCGAACAAAAGTAATTTACTGGAGCAAAAGGAGAACAAAAAAATAGGCAGCCAGCTTTGTTCCTGGTGTAATATTCGCCTAATAGTAATTGTTTAGCCTTTTCTCGGCTAAGTGATGATTGAATGTGAAGATCGCGTTATGTGAAACCAATCAACCATCTGCTGAATCATTGAAAAAAAGGAAATGTAAGCTAATTAGCTCATACTAAGCTTCTACTATATATTTTTTTGTATGGAGAACTGAACTGAATATTTCTTCGATGTCTTCATATACTTAGTTCCCATTAAATATCGCGCCAAGCACATATTTCTAACATTCCTTTTTTGGCACTTGTAGCAACTACAAAAAGTTTTTTGAAGTCCCTAATATATACGATCTTAAATCCTATTATAATATATTAGTGATTTTTCAAGATAAAAATATTTGATATATAATTTCTATGAAGTAATATTTTATTTTTAATTTCATGACATACCTCTATATTATATTAAAAATTCTGAGTGCGGAAATTGTATATTAATATTTATAGTTTTCAAATTGTAAAATATATGTAGGTATTTTTTTAATTTTAATAAGATACATGTATAATAATTGAATTGAATTGATTTTTTTGATAGTTTATTTAAATAATAATAATAATTTAAGTAAAATTGCAACGCCTTTGCAGGGTGTCACATAATTATACAACTTATGATATTATTGTTTTTGTACTATCTGTGGCATGCAATAAAGAATAAATAAATAAAATAATAAACCATCTGATTGTTTGAAACATGAAACCCCTTGTTAATAAACGAAGACTACGCTTGGATTAGTAACTCCATGCTTTGTCTCTGTCTGTTGAATGACAAATGGCATTTGAATGACATGAACGAAAAACGGCGTAACTACTCTAAGTTTATTACTTGTTGATTATAAGAGGGTAAAGGTTTATACAAATATAACTTTTTTGGATGACTAAGCATCCAAACGGTTTGAATTCGTTGACGTTTAAATGATTATTTAACTAAAACTATATATTTTCATTGTACTTTTTTCACATTTATTTAGGAGCTCTTGTTCACGACATGGCAAATTAGATAAACCAAACTATTATACAATTATATATCAGTTTACTTCTGTAATTTACTGGAAATATTCCATATAAGGATTCCTCCCAGAGGCGTGTTATTAGCGGTGGATAATATTGGTTGAGTTATTTCGATATGTGTTTATAGTACATTTAGTATGAGATTACGGTTTGTAGCTGAAATATTAATTATATTTTAAAAACCTAAACACTTAGTGGGCCGATGGAAGTGTCCAGAGTTGTATATCTATATATATAAAACTCAAAGGTGATTGACTGACATAGTGATCTATCAACGCACAGCCCAAACCACTGGATGGATCGGGCTGAAATTTGGCATGCAGGTACATGTTATGACATAGGCATCCGCTAAGAAAGGATTTTGATCAATTCTACCCCCAAGGGGATAAAATAGGGAATGAATGTTTGTATGAAACTTTGTCAATTTTAAACCGATCGGGCTGAGACTTTGCATGCAGGTATAAGAAGAATCATAGATGAATGTCATTGTGTATAATACAAGCCTGAGAACAAAAACTGTAGTCTACACATCAGCTCTACAGCGAAGCGAAGCGAGGGCGGGCCGCTAGTTTAAATATATATGAGTGATGCGGGCGCTGCTCCATGTCCCTATGCCTTATGCACCACCGAATGTTAGGAAAAGAAGTCTCACTCCAGATGTGTGGTCCGTACATACAATTTTTTGTGAGTTTCCGATATCCCTACGTTGCACTTGAATAGATTATAAATTTATATACTTGAATAGTGTCAGTCATTCAGATATATTTCCGTTTCATCTTTTCCATAGGATTTTTCCATTAACACCCGAGCGAAAAAAAGTTTCACTTCAGAAACAAAGTACATGGTATCAATCCCGCCAATTTCTCCAATCTTACTGACCATGAAAGTTAAAAACAAAAAAGTCCCACGATGGAATTAGAGTTGCCTACAACAACATCTTTAGGCAATTAATGGGTTATAGTAATATAAGTTATTTACGGGATTGTTACCATGTACCTTGTTTTTAGCGAGTTTCTGATATTTCGGCACTGTAGCAAGCGCCATGATCACGGAGTAACTGAAGTAATTGCGGGTAGGCTGTTATTGGCAGACATATCGGTCTACCCACCGACGAAGTCTTTTATTGCGTTCGATACCCGTACCACTGTTCACATTCTCACTATTCACTCGAAACTTATATTACTATAATGTTAGTGACTATGAAAGTTTAAAACAATATATAATTAATGGGTTACACGCGGTATTGTAGTGTCTCTGAAATGTTTACACAGGCACGCGTTGACTTGTTTAATTCCATTCAAAGGAAACGGGTAGCTTCTTTTATGTCTCGAGTTTGCAAGTGTGATATCAAAATTATCACTACTTTGGCGGAAAGATTGATGACGACCAATATGTATAAACGTTGGGTACAAATTACAATTTCAGATAAATTGAGAATTTAAATTTATTATTGAACAAAATTTGACTGAATGTTTTAAATTATTTTATTCTGTTTTTCATTTAATTATTTTAATTCAATGTTCGATTTCCATTTAATTTGACGTATGTGATTTTTAAATGTATTGTTTTATTGCTATTATTATTTATTTTAAAGTAATTGTTGTATTGTTTTTTTTTAAATTTTGATATGGATCTCGTGTCTGAAATAAATGCTTTTATTATTATTCTCTCATTTATTTCATTTCACAAGTTAGGTTTTTTATAAAATAGATATAAAAGTAAAATACAAAAATAAATATAGTATAAAAAACCTAACCTAGAAGGCCACCAGCAGCGGAGCGAGGCCCAAGCTACCGGTGGTTAGGGCCGCAGAGAAAGAAACCGCCTGACAATGCGCGCCGTGTCCAGGAGTACTATTATTATTAAAAATAATAAACTCTGAACAATACATATATCCAGCCTATAATGGAAGGTTGATGGCTAAACTTACCTTTGAGCAGCAGCACGTAGTTCTTCTTGTCGTCGCCACCTTTAGGGTATTCCCAGTCCACATCCAGGCCATCGAAGCTCCTGTCCCTCAGGTACGGGATGGCGGAGTATATAAACGTTTGTCTCGCGTAACGGGAAGCAGACATCTCCTTAAACTTTTGGGTGCCGAACGACCAACCACCTGGGAATGAAAAGGACCTTCTGAATTTGACGAATTGCTGTAGTTGTGTTTATAGTTTAGCCTAGAGAGAGAATAGCCTAGCCCCAAAGTAAGCACTGTAAGGCTTGTGTCATGGGATGCTAGGGTAACGGATAGAATACATATACTGTACATATTATCTTATAAATAAAATTGTCGTGTCACAATGTTAGTTACCATACTCCTACGAAACGGCATGACCGATTTTTATGAAATTTTATATACATATGCCGTGGGTCTGAGAATCGGCTACTATCTATTTTTCATATCCTTAAGTGATAATGGTTGTTCACCTCTAACGTAGTGTTCATAACCTGCAATGCGCCTTCGCGCCAAAATTCAAACTATTGGGTATTGTAACGTAGTGTTCTCATATGGGTTAGGAGGAATGTTATCCCAGGAATTTTATTGGACAATATCTATTTGTTTATAACGTGGCATTCAAAAATACATACAACCCTAAATTTTCTCTTTTACCACCTGCCCCTATTTTTATGGCGGTACGAAGTTCGCTGGGCAGCTAGTATAAGTATTTAAATATAGATATACATATTAAATATCCATGACTGAAGTACAAATGCTTGTATTTATATTTTATAATTATGGTGTACGGTGAAACGTACATATTTCGCAATTTCATTTATATTTAATTTTGTTAATTTAGCGATAAACTTTTATGACGTCGCATGCGCAGCACGTATCGATCAGTGCATTACAAGCATTACTATTAATCTGTTATTTTCTTTATCATTCCGTTATATCATTATCAATAAATCAGTTTCTAGCATATTCATATCATGTATCATTTAATGTGGGAAATCTCTCCACAGTGGTGAAATTACTAATCTATACTTATAATAAATCTGTAGAGATGTCAATTCTGTACATGAAATATATTTTTAAAATAACTATCAGGGGGTGATAAGTGATCGATACTGATGCCAAAAATGTAATCAGTAAATTTTTTGTCTGTCTGTCTGTGTGTATGTTCCTTATAGAAACCAAAACTACTCGACGGATTTTAACGAAACTTGGTACAATTATTCTTCATACTCCTGGGCAGGTTATAGTATACTTTTCATCACGCTACAATCAATAGGAGCAGAGTAGTGAAGGGAAATGTTTGGAAAACGGGAGAAGTTAATCCATTTTTTAAGCTTCCGTCGCGTGTGCAGCCTTAATAATTAAAGTTACATAGGAACCATGTATGACGGAAATATTCTACATAAAATTGTCTAAAAAATATCTCGCAAAAGCATATGTCTATCTTTTATGGTTGACTCACAATAACACGTGTAACTCCCGATAGCTTAGCAGTTCGGAGCATTCTGATCATATTTGTTTACTCTTACGTTTATAATACTCTGACTCATCCCTAATTTAAAAGAGTTAACATTATCACCTATTCAATAAAAACAAAACATAGAAATCGGTATAGAAACACCAAACTTATACATGAAATAAGCCATCGCGCCGTCGCACGTGAATACTGAATCATGCTATAAGGATTATTTTCGTGTAACGGTTGCCGCGCTCGACACGGGTCGCGGCGGCGGTAGGGTATCAAAATACGGGAGGTCCGAGAGCGAGCTGTCTAAATCTGTTTTCTGCGTCGTTCCCCCCCCCCCCCCCCCCCCCCCTGGGGGACGATCGCTTCCGATGAAGCCTTAGAGGCCTTCCCGGCCAGAGGCAGCCCCTACGGGTGTTTTTTAGTCAGTACGAGTCTGACATAACCTTGCAGCCGGCTGTAGGGTATCCATGAGGATTTCTCACCTGCTCCCCAAAACAAAAAAAAATAAAAAAAGAGAGCGAGCGAGCTTCAATATTTGGCTGTTGATGCGTTCAGAGCGTTCGACCTTATTGACAGACAATAATTGAGAAATATTGAGTAACCGTGCTTATCAGCGCGACTTTTAGTCTTTAAATAGTTTATTTAAATTTCTTTTGTTGTTATTTTGTAAAATACACACATCAAAAGTGTCTAGGGATCAAGCATTTTTATGCGGATTTCTTGAGATTGAGATGTGGCTTCGTAATAAATTTATGATTTTATAAATTTTTATGGATCCTTTTTGGTGCATTTCATAATTTGAATCAGGAACTGTGAATCAAATTCGAGTAAAAGATGAAAATCAGCTGTCAATATTTTCCCTATAAAAACATACAACGCATTGAAGACATTATTAGTGCTACTGTTTCCCTACTACTGATTAAAACCAACGTTATTATGGAGCGGCGACGTCATTTAAGCAGGGAAGAAATGCTCAGAGCCGTGGGAATGATAGAAGCTGGTTCGCGGCAACGTACTGTGGCTTTAGCTCTGAATACAAGTCAGAGTGTTATCAGTCGACTTTGGACACGATACCGAAGCACTGGTACCGTGGCTGAGCGCCATGGAGGACGGTATCTCTGCACCACACGGAGACAAGACCGATACATTCAAATCTTAACTCGAAGAGCTCCAACAATAACCGCCATGATGTTAGCCGTGAGGCTTCATCACTCTTCAGGGAACTTAATTAGCGACCAAACAGTCAGAAACCGCTTGCATGAAGTGAACCTTCATTCCCGAAGACCGCTACGGGTACCACCTATAGCAATGCACAATCGTAGGATTCGATATCAATGGGCTCTTGAACACAGAAATTGGGCAGAAGAACAATGGCGTTTCGTGTGCTTTTCTGATGAGTCTCGTTTTGGTATGAGACCGGATACAAGACGTATACGATACTGGAGAACCCCTGGACGCCAACAGCGATTAAAATCCTGCCAGGAAGTCCATCCTTATAGTGGTGGAACCATCATGGTATGGGCGGGTATTTGGATCGGCGGAAGAACTGAGTTGATTTGGATCAGAGGCAACCTCAACGCTCAAATTTATGCTGAGACGATTGTATCAGACGTCATCGTTCCTCTACAAGTGCAAATCGGTCCCTTATTTCAGTTAATGCATGATAATGCACGACCGCACACCGCAAGAGTTGTAAGACAGACTCTCGCCGCAGCTAACATCAATGTCCTGCCCTGGCCTGCTCAGTCGCCAGACTTGAACCCGATTGAGCATGCATGGGATATGCTACAGAGAAGAGCTCTGCCGAATATGGAGGGTATCCAGTCGCAAGAAGACCTTTTTTTGTTGTTGCAACGAACATGGGCGGCCATTCCACAGCGTGATTTGGATGAACTCATTTTGAGTATGCCAAACCGATGTTCTTGTGTTGTTAGTGTTCGCGGTAGAAATACGGATTATTAATTGTTTAAGTTACCCAATAAAATTTTAGAGAAAACTGTTATTTCAGTCTTTTTTTCGAACTTTTGTGTTAGTGGTTCAAATGTCAAAAATCCCTTTATTAGGAAAATGGCAAATTTCTTTATTAATGCAAAGGTGACTTGGTTTATCGTTACTGTGACAAACGAAAACACTTTATTTGATGAATCCTTAAAGAAAATTTTAATTAATATCAATCAGGAGAAAAGTTATTGCAAAAATATATGTTGATCCCTAGACACTTTTGATGTGTGTAGGTATTAGTTGTTTTGGTAGTGTTTAAATATTCGTTCAAATTAAAAAATATTAAGCGTACTTTTATTAATAAAGTAGTTATAAGTATTTATTTTTAAGTGAAGTAGGTATAGGTAGATAGTATTGCACAGGCGTTTCAGCTTTATTTTCATTTCTTTTTTGTTGTGAGTTGTATATATTTCTGGTTATAATTCTATAAGAATATTTTAGTTTAAATAGTCACTTAGATTTTAAGTGTAAGGTAGCTAAAGTTAGGACCACGTATTAGTTGTTTTGGTAGTGTTTAAATATTCGTTCAAAGTGAAATTTAATCATATGGGATGAATATACGATGGCCCATCGAAAAGGAGTAGAAGCGGTAGACAGAACTTTAAGGGATATAAGACAAAATGATCGACCAATGGGCGGTATCACAGTTTTATTTTGTGGTGATTTCCGACAAACCTTACCGGTAATATCACGGGGAACCCGAGCTGATGAGGTTAGGGCTTGCCTGAAAAGCTCTTATTTGTGGCGTGATATACAATCGGTGCATTTGACTATAAACATGCGAGTGAGAACTGTAGATAACCCGGATGATCGTGAATTTTCTGATATATTATTAAAGAAAATACCTTCACCAAAGATACCTATCCACTGCTACACCAAGGAAAACTTATTCTGACGCCTGAGTTGTGTTGTATAGTGCAATCCCAACAACATATTACATCGTCAGTTTACGGTGACGTAACAAATATATTAAATAAGGATAATTCTTGGCTATGCGAAAGGTCCATTTTAACTCCTCGCAATGACCAGGCATCTGAGATTAATACTGTCGAATATCCAGGGGGAAAGCAAAGTTTATAGTTCAATAAATATAATGGCCGATGAACAAGAAGCCACTAACTACCCGATAGAATTTTTAAATTCTTTAAATATGCCCGGACTTCCTTCTCATGAAATTTGTTTAAAAATTGGCATTCCGATTATTCTGCTCCGAAATTTAAGACCACCACAAATTTGCAATGGAACTCGGCTTAAAGTAACCCAGTTGCAACAAAATGTAATCGAGGCTCAAATTTTAACAGGTTGCGGTGCAGGAGAAACCATCTTTATTCCCAGAATTCCCATAATACCAAATAATTTTCCATTCCATTTTAAAAGAACGCAATTCCCAGTATCGGTGTGTTGTGCAATGACAATAAATAAGGCTCAAGGGCAGACTATTCGTGTTGCTGGAGTAGATCTCGGTGTCAGTTGCTTTTCACATGGTCAGTTATGTCGCTCTTTCCCGGGTAAGCAGTCCTAGAAATTTTTATGTTCACGTGCCGGATGGGTCAACTTTCAACGTAGTTTACCCGGAAGCTTTGCGCTGAAGTATTTTCATTCTATATGTACCTAAGCCTCATGTCAAAGCGATCTAAACAATATTACCAATACATTAACATAATAACATACAAGGAGTTACATGCTGATG